GCATGGGCGGCGGGCGAGGGGTTTGCGCCACAGCTCGCTTGCACGGTTGTCTGCCTCGGCCGAATCCCACCCAAGCGCCTTAAGGTGGTGGTTCACGTGTCAACGTAGTTGTGGGCGGGCGCGTTTGCGGAGGCCTGCACACCCCTTTGTGCCCACTTTCCAGCTGCTGGTTTTGCCCTCTGCGCCGCTGGGCGACCGGGTGGGGTGGGGTGGCGCTCCCTTGGAACAAAACGGGGCGGCCTTCCGGGGGCGGGAAAGGGGGATGCTGGTGGGTGGGTAGCACTCCCGAGGGGGTCAGATCTTGTGGCTGCCCGTGTCGTGCCCGGGCCCTGCCTTCGGGTGCAGTCCAGGAGCTCATTCTGTTGCCACTCGCCGGTGCTGAGCGAAGGACCCTCTGCCGTTCCGGTTAGCTTCTGCAGTCGGAAGGGCAGGGACAACATCTTCTATTTCACCTCAGGAACAGAGTCTCCTAACCAAGCTCTGACCCACATACAGTACATTTTTAAAGGACACGCCACCTTGTATCCGCCTGCCCTCCTGTTCGGCGGTGGGCCTTCTCTAGGTATCTTTGGCATCTTAAGAAACTTTTGGTGGCGATCGGTGGGGGCTCCCTCCAACAGAAGGATGCTCATCCCAGAACCCATACTGTATCTTCTGGGTCAGAGGCCAAATTTCTACTCACCAGGGCTAGTAAACCAGTTTTTGTTGTGTAATTTACTTTGTACTTCTATTATTTTTCAAAATTTGTGCTTGCTTCCATCTTACTGTTTTTTTACAGGTTTCTTATCCGATTTCTGTAAAATTGAAATTTACTGACCTTTGACAGAGCCCACTGATGCTTAAAGGAAGCCCTCTGAGTGTCTCACAGAAGTCGGTCTTGGCTCCCAAGAGGACGCATAGAATGGGCTCATAGGCACTTTAGAAGCAAATTAATTGCATTGGTTCCCTCTCTGCACAGGGCCCATCTTTCCCAGCAAAGTCACGATTAGTCAGTTTTTTAAAAAAAACTTTCTGGCCTTTCAGAGCTATAATTTTGAGTGGCTATACAGTATCTGTTGTATCTGACGAAGTGGCTCGTGGTCCACAAAACCTTACACCAAATAAACCCCGTGAGTCTTCAAGACTGCTGTTTTTGCCATCAGAACTAGTAATCCAGCACATGAACACTGCAAAGCAGGCAGAGACAGGAGTGTCTTCTCTTTAGTCTGTTCTTCAGGTTAAAAGCAGGGTAGGATTTAATTGCTAGCAGTTGTGGGCAGAGCCTAGTTGCAAGGCTAGCATATACACAGCTCTAAAAACAGTGCCTGTGAGTCATTGGAAATGCTAACTGTGTAGAATTATATGCCCCTTCAAACCATATCCTATTCTATGTAATAACAAACAGCTAGGGATTTCAGAACTAGCTACAGTATGTTGTTGAAAACCATAGATCACCACAATATCAACAGCAACACAAAACTGCACGGACTCTGTATACCTATACATAAATACAAGATGACATAGCTTACCTTTTTTCTTAAGACTCTTGATGCTTGGCATGTATTTTCTTTGCTGCCAAAGGAAAAATTTGCTACTTCATAGGTAGCAGTTACATAGTGTACACAGTTGAACCAAGGGTCTATCACACAGGAGTCAGAGAATGCAAGCAAGAAGGTCACCTCTGGGGTGCTCATACTTAATAAATAATGGGAAACATCTTTGACCTCTCCTGATCCACAAGTACAGAGTCTCTGGATAATTTTCTTAAAGAGCTGCGAATACTTTTCTTAAAGGGGCTGACGTTAGTTAGGGATTTCATTTAAACTCCAATAAAAGAGAAGAGGAGGCACAGAAACAGATGATGTACATCTCTTAACTTTTAGTTGGCTCCTAAAAAAGTTTGAGCACACACACCCCAAGGGGTACTGAGACAATTTTGCACATACAGTGGTGCCTTGACTTACAAACGTCCCGGAAAGGTGGTATGGCAGAGGGGGATAGTTTAATTTGATCATTGTAACAGGCAGCCCTGACCTCACCTGTCCGTCACGGCTGGGCAGTGGTTCATCAGCCAATGGGGTGATGGAGGGTGGAGCTGGAGGGGGAGGAGTTGGAAGGAAAAGGGTGTGAAGAGAGGGTGAGAGATCAAATGAGGAGTGTGTGAGAGAGAGCTTGTTTAGAGGCCTGCGTGCCTAAGTGGTCAGTGAGGGAAGTCTGTGATTGATTAAATAAGATACAGTGATTGACATCTTGATTAGCTAATTGTGATTTACATATTTTATTTTGTTATTTCAATAAACCTGTTTTTGTTTTGAAGGAAACCTTTGTCCTTCTTAAATAGTCATTACAATTGGTGGCAGCGAGTGTGAAGTGGTGTGGTGGGCATTCTGAGAGGCCTGAGTTGGCAGTGTGTCAATACATTCCTATGGAAAATGGTGCTTTGACTTACGACCAATTCGAGTTACAACCATCTTCTGGAACGAATTAAGTTCGTAAGTTGAACCACCACTGTACCTACAGATAATATGCTGTGGTGTTTATTTTGATTTTCTTTTACTTAACGGAAGTTAACACTTTAGTAGTGTCACAAAACAAGCCCTGGAGACTGGCAAACAACTAAATATAACAAAATAGGAAAGGTGGTGTGGCAGAGGGGGATAGTTTAATTTGATCATTGTAACAGGCAGCCCTGACCTCACCTGTCCGTCACGGCTGGGCAGTGGATCATCAGCCAATGGGATGACGGAGGGTGGAGCTGGAGGGGGAGGAGTTGGAAGGAAAAGGGTGTGAAGAGAGGGTGAGAGATCAGATCTGGAGTGTGAGGGAGAAAGAGCTTGTTTAGAGGCCTGTGTGCCGAAGTGGTCAGTGAGGGAAGTCTGTGATTGATTAAATAAGATACAGTGATTGACATCTTGATTAGCTAATTGTGATTTACATATTTTATTTTGTTATTTCAATAAACCTGTTTTGTTTTGAAGGAAACCTTTGTCCTTCTTAAATAGTCATTACAATTGGTGGCAGCGAGTGTGAAGTGGTGTGGTGGGCATTCTGAGAGGCCTGAGTTGGCAGTGACATCAGAGTGGCCTGCTACGCCACAATCATCTTAATACAACAGATTTCAGTTGTGATAAGTATCGCTGAATAGAATTAGAGGCCAACCAACTTAAGACTCTGCTTTTGCAAACTTTTTTTTCCAGAGACAGCCTGGGATTGCTTGAATATCACTTGCTTGGCTTCTCTTTTGTTCAGATTAATGCAGTTGGCAGGAAGCTTGGATAGGTGAGAAGAAACATTTAGATGAGAAGGAATTTCCACCCATTGCAGCATGCTAGAAAAATTCCAGTGTGGTGTAGTGGACAGAGAGAGACTAGAACTCTGGAGAACAGAGTTCAAATCCCCATGTGGCCATGGAAACTCCCCGGGGGAGTGAAATGTATAATAATCTCACTTATCTTGAACGCTCTGTTAGAATCACTATATGTCAGTTGCAACCTGAGGGCTCAGAAGACATAATAATGAGCCAGACACTGTTAAAAGACAGCTACTAATAGTATGCAGATGCTGCTGTGTGCCCTAACTAAGGTACCCCTAATAAATAGAGGGTGGTAGGTTTGTGGTAGCACAGAACAGTGAGATGCATTATGGTGGAGTACGAGGGGTGAGAGCATCCGCAAAATCTAGATCTTAACTAAGGTATCTTTTGATCAATTCGCTGGAAGTAATCTTTCCCCCATTGCAATGTGACTTTTTCTGCACTGGTTCCGCTCTGCTTTGTTGGTCTGAAGCAACTAAATTCATACAGTTGAGTTATTTTTGGATCCAAATCTTAAACAAATGGATTTCTCAAAAACATTTCCTTTTCTGAACAATGTTTAGTAACTGAACTTTACCCTTTCCATAATGGAAACATTTGATTTTACAAGATTTTTATTTTTCTTCCCATGTGACTCATCTCAGGTGTTCTGGCTTGCTTTTTGTTTTTTAATGAACTGCACTGCATAATAACGAAAACATACAGAGAAAAGCAATTCCAGACATTTTTTAAACTACTGTTTAATCAGATTTGAAAGACACAAATTAGAAAAAACATTTATAGGCAAGTTAAAAACACTTTCAGAACACAGCAGTATGCTACCTGTGTGCAGCATCTCTGAGACAAAACTAGAAATAAGTAATTATTAAAATAGCACATCACAGTGTAAACTAACACAGTGGTATTTTAAATTACCATACACCAAGACCTAATTTTATGGATCTGTTGAAAAATAACAATTTTTAAAAAATATATAGATATAGGAGTAATAAAAATGAAATTCACGGAGCATGTCTTTATATTTTGAATCAGGGAAGGCAATTTGAGGAAATACTGCAACTATCCACCTCTGAGGGTACAGGGAGCATAACTATTTCTGCACTGAGCTTAAAAAAAGAGAGATCCCTTCAGAATGTGTCCAGATATGGAACTACATTCCATATTTATATTCCTATATTCAATAGAT